CCCCAAAACCCCAAAACCCCAAAACCCCAAGGTGTCACCTTAAAATTGAAAATGAACTTTTTTTAATATTTCATTTTAAAATCAAACTCTTCCTCTGCTTTAACCCTCTATCTTGCACTATAATCTCTACATTCAAATTTTGACATCTCCGAGTCCATACTCCTTCAGCACATCCCCAATCTGCCTTTTCTCCATTCCTCAATTATCCACCACAATCATTCTCAAGCTGTTCCTAAAATCCTCTTCGCTTGCTAAGCCTTTGACTAAATTTTCGAAATGAGTGGGGTTGTTCTTCCAGTCCCCTCGGTCGCTACTACCTCAATAGCTTAGGTTTAACCTTTCTAGCGTACTTCCTGTGAGAGCTCCATTGAAGTTCAGTGGAGAGGATAAGTCTAGTCTGCAGCCGGCCAAGCTGAGGGTTTTCTTGGTCTTGAATAATGAGAGTAGAGTGATTGTTTGGGACTGGGTGGCTGCGAAATTACAAACCCCTACTAAAACCTCCACTTTCTCCCTTATCCCCTCTAATCCTTCCATATAAAACCCAAGTGAATTATTTAGCCCAGAGTCGTAATTACAGTAGAAACTTTTTACTGTATTCGGGAAGTGGTGGCTTAGGAAGGTCTTGAGGGGTTGGATCTCTTCTGGGATGGAGGGAATGTTTATTCTGGGGTAGTTGGAGAGTCTGGTTTGGAGGGTGGGGTTGGAGGGGTTTAGGGTGAATGGAGGGGGTGCGAGAGGGGGGAAGTGGGGTGAGTGGGTAGCTGTGGTGGGGCTAAAGGGTGTGAAAGGAGGGGATGGAAGGGGATGTGGTATGTGAGGGAATGAGGGTTGAATGCGTAGGAGTGATTTGGGGGTGTAGGTTAAGGGTTTAGGTACTTAGGTTTGGTCTAGCTGGTTTTAAATTACAAAATGGCGTTATTTTTATTATTATTAGTCAACCCAGGCTCTTGTGATAAGTAAAATGCTCAATTCGAATAGTAAAATTACTTGAGTCTTAATTATACACAAGTATTTACTCTTTGTTTCTATAACTTCACTAAATGTAAGTTTTGGGCACTAATAAACCTCTTTCTTCAAAATGTCTACTATTTCTCTTAAAATAAGGCAGTAATTGGTTACTTAACAGCTAACCTCTTTATCTGGAATCTAGAGTATGGATATAATTCTATGTAGTGTTAATATTCTGTACTCTTACGAAAGGTTTGATCTAAACAATACTTTTAGTCACATCTATTCATTGTCTTTCAGTAATATTTCATTATATGGTTGAAAGCTTGGGTTAAAAGTGTTGCTTTGTATAAATATTTGTATTAAATTATTGGATTAGAACTTTACGACTTGGTTGATAGAAATGAAAAAATTTGGTTGGCATTGTCGTTAAAATATTTGAATCATTTTCTTAATAATATTTTGGAGTTTATTTCGGCTGTTCAGGGTCTTTATAAGCTTTATCTGGATTAGTGGGAATTTTTATGTTATTCTTCCCCCAATTTGTCCACACAAAATAGCTATCTTTCAGAGCCCTTAAGTTCATAACTATTGCTCTATTCCACTGTAAGTTCGGGTTCTTAAACTGTCAGCTCTTTTAACTGCGATGAAGTTAAACTTAATTTGGGTTAGAAATCTCTAAGTTTCTGTGCTCTAAATAATATTTATTCTTGAGTTTTTAGATATTGGTATATTTTGGGTTTTTCTGATGTAAAATTTATAATTTTGATGGTTTGGGTTATATAGTTTACACTTGTTTTAGTAGTTCTTTCTCTTTATTTTGTTTATTTAGGCTTTCTTTTCTTTCTTCTCTATAGGTTGGATTGAAGTTGATGGAAATGAAGAGGGATTAAATGTGGGGATTTTTTGTTTTTGGGCATTGTTAAATCCAAAGCATTTTTCAAGGTTATGGTCCTAAACCTCATTTCTCGAGACAATCCAGAATACTGCTTAAGGTCTCTGATATTATTGAGAAATTATTTAAAATGACCTTTTGCATTTAGAGCTCTCTTGTTAGAGGAGAAAAGCGTTCCTTCTGATAAACATGGCGATTCGAACTGTTGTTACCGAATCTGTCAGTGTTAGTGCGAGTTTATCTAATAATCCTATTCTATTGTTAAAGATTCACGATTTATGCTAAAAAATTAGCGCAAGCTACTGGAATTAAGACCTAGAATTTTCTTGAAATGACATGCTTGAAGAACATTTTAGCTTTCCTGGAAATTGCTAAGGGTTTAAATTAATACATATCTGGAAGGCTATCTTATTGATCGTTATACTTCGAAAGCTATACATCTGTAGTATTTGATCTCAAAATAAAGCATCCTATTCGATCAGCATTGGCAGGATCGAAATTGTATTGACGAACTATGTAGGGCTAAAGTATGTTATTGATATTCAAGCTCAAATTTTGAGTCGCCGTTTCCCAGTTCCACAAGGAGATTAGAGCATTTTTAGTATTTAACATAGATTTGATTACAAGAATATGTTAAAATATAGCCAATATATTTGCTATATTGGAGATATTTGAATCTTGGGAATACCATCAGTACAGATTAATTTAGACTCTCATATAACTCTCAGAATCTATATATTGTGGCTCCATGAGTCCAGCAGCTATCACCACCATGTCATACAGTATTTTAAGCATTACTAAGGTATTAATGATTATCTTTATACAGTCTAGGAGAGCTAAAGCCTCCTTTTTCCTTTTAGTAAGTTTACACAGAATCTGAATACTGGTCGTTTTAAGCTGATTGTTGTTTAGTGTTCAACAGTTTGAAACTGCTTAAATGGATTAATACGGTAAGATGCATAATTTTTGTTGGTTTTTACAATCAAAATTTGCTCAAGCGTCATTTTGTTGTGAATTTGTTCTTACCTCGAAGTTCCATGAATTCTCCTTCCTAATTCTAAAATTTGATAATCGCTCTTAGAGTTCTTTAGGCTTAGTTTTTGATTTTCAGCGTCTAAATTGAGTATTGTTTGTTTCATCTTTGTTTCGTCTTCTACGAGTTCTTCTGTTTTATTTTCCAGAGATCTGATCTTTTGATCTCTTTGTTTAACAGCATCTACCTGGCTTTTAATCCTTGCAGTCTTTCTAAGCTCTTCTATTTTATAGAGATTTATTTGTATTTGATGAGATCTAATTTCTCTGATTTGAGACTGGATCTCCTCTGTTTGGTGCATATTTTCTTTCTCTAGCTTATTTAATCATTTTCTCTTGTTTCCTATTACGCTCTTCATTTCTTCTCAATTTGATTAGAAGTTTCTTGTATCCTGAGATCTCAATCATTTCCTTGATTTCTTGGTACTTCTCTTGAGCCCAAGGAAATGAAATGTAGCACTCTTGTTCTAGGCCATCCTTCATATTTGCAAAGGTTCTGTACATCTTCTGCTTGTTGTATTGCTTGTAGAGGTTGGACTCCAAGAGAATGTTAAGGAGCTCTTTGGTCTCGATGGAAACATAGCAATATTTCTCTCAGTCCTGGTTCAATCTGGCATATTCATAGTCTTCTAAAGGCAATGTGAGGATCTATGTAAGACGTTTGGAATTTCAGATTCTGCTCAGACAACACAATATTTTTGGAATTGTTGAATATTTAAAATGCTTAAATTTGCACATAATATGGCATTTAAAGACTTGAAATAATCAGGAAGTGATAGCTTCCTTGTTGAAAATAGGGAAAGTAAATTGGAATTCAGATAATATAATCTGAGAGGAGACACAATATTAGAAAGCCTTCCACAAGCTGAAATTTGGATCAGGACCTATCACTGCTAGCTCGAATAAGGTCAAAGCTAGAATATTTGTGTTACCTTTGAGTGAATCAAGTCGTTGTTTGAATGAATCGAAGTCGGGGGTGAATGCTTCCCACATTCCTCCAGGATTATGATATTGTCTGAAACCGTCAATTTGTTCTAGAACATATTCGACTAAATCAGAGTTACATGGAATTCTTCAAAACACAATTTGTTGCTAAAAGAAGTGTGCAAAGTTTATGAATTGTTAGTAAAATAGTCAGAATACAGCTAGAAGGTAACTTCCAAATTCTGCAACTAAACTAAGCAAGAAGATGCCCTTCGTTCCCAATACTTTGTCAATCTGTTTCTGTAGTGCTATCTTACCTATCTCAAAATCTCCTAACATAGCCTGAGATGTGGGGATCTTTACCACCAAATCAACTCTGTAATATCTCTCAGAGCACTCAGATCATACCATAATGATACTTTCCCATCCTTCTCAGTCAATCCTCCTGATAAAACTGGTGACTTGGCCACAATGTATGGTTGTTTTGCACAAAGGTAAGTTCATATTTATTTTAGTTTACTATTATAATTTTATAGTCGATTTCTGGGGTTTTGGGGTTTTGGGGTTTTGGGG